ACACACACACACACACACACACACACACACTCACAAACAAACATGCACTCACATACACACACACCCACACCCATACATATACTCACACACGCAGATACACACATATACACACATACATACACACATACAAACACAAACACACTCAGATACACAAATACATACGCACACAAAAACACACACACATACAAACAAACTTGCGCATACTTACACACACAGACTCAGATACACCCACAGACACAAAAATGAACACACACACACACACAAGCACACACACCAACACACACACACACACAAGCAAACACACACAAACGAATATACAGAACCATACACACACATACTCACACATACACAAACATACACACACACAAACACACATTTACTCACATACACACACATATACAAACACATACACACACACACAAACACACACACGCACACACACACGCACATACATACACGCAAACACACACACACGCACATACATACACACACAAACACACATGACACATACACACAAGCACACATACACACATAAACACACACTTACACACACACATACACACACATATACATACACACACACACTTGCACACACAAACTCACACATACACACACGCAAAAACACACATATACACACACACAAACACACACACGCACACACGCACATACATACACACAAACACACATACACACACACAAACACACACACGCAAACAAACATGCACTCACATACACACACACCCACACCCATACATATACTCACACACTCAGATACACACATATACACACATACATATACACATACAAACACAAACACACTCAGATACACAAATACATACGCACACAAAAACACACACACATACAAACAAACATGCGCACACTTACACACACAGACTCAGATACACCCATAGACACAAAAATGAACACACACACACAAGCACACAAACCAACACACACACACAAGCAAACACACACAAACGAATATACAGAACCATACACACACACACATACTCACACATACACAAACATGCACACACACAAACACACATTTACTCACATACAC